GTGTAAATATTTCAGTCATTTTGACTAAAAAATCTGTCCAGATTGATCAAGACGATCAAAAGGGCCTACAAACATCACAACAGATTATTATGTAGGATTAAAAGCCAAACAACTTAGAAATGTACTTTTCAACGTTACATTTTCAGTCTCTTGGTGATGACGTTAAACATCAAAATGTTTGGAATTCGTTGTCATAATAATACAGATGGAAATGTTTTTCAGTCCCTTTGTAAAATAACTGAATATTTAGACGTTTAATAAATTTGTTACACATTTGACAGTAAAAAAATATACACACTATAAAAAAGCATATGCTCAAGTGAAATATATACTTTGTGTTGCAAGTCAAAATAGTGTAAACGAAAATCGCAAAATTACCAAGCAAGTGACTTATCAAAACTTCGACACCATTACCGATGCTATTCACAAAGATACCTACATTTCCTTATTATCTCGAAAACTGTATTTGATTTTGTTGATCAATGTGACCATACGCCCTAATTACTACCCATAAAAGTGACTAATGCGCTTACGAATGGCGCAGCAGAGGTCACGAACTAGTCTAGATTTCTGCTATACATCCGGGTACTCACTGGGAAAAAACAATAACAAAGGCAACAACCAGTCTCGGGGAATTGCGTTAGATCAGTGCCCCTTTAATGTGGGAGGAAAGCCCGAAGTGACGCAGGTCTAAGACGTTTACCACTTCGGTGAAACCTACGAGCACGGGTATGGTGCTGACATACCTAGAAACATAATTGGGGCGAACCGGGATTCGAACCCACAATCACAGGTTTCTGGCGTGCCCAAGGGACGCAACTCTGCACAGCGAATTGCGGCGCCTTAGACGACTGGGCCACCCGCGCCCCCACCTTCATCCGAGCCACCTATAGCATGAACATTAACATGAAGAGTATATTATAATTTATTTAATCAATTCAGTCTTACATTTGTTTGACGGTGGTTTAATAAGTGCTGGTGATAGGATAGATATACTAACCCATCATGAATCTATATTAAACATGACAAGTGGTTTCATCGCGGTGTCTGACAATTATTCCCACTATCATGGAATAGAACAATATCAACTTGCACTTGCCAAGTATGACATTGTTACCTTTGTGGTGACACCTAAATACTGGCATATCCGCATATAGTCTTGTGCAAACAGATTTACAGGATATTCTCGGCGTTTCCATTTTGATATCACCTCGTAAAACATATGTTTCAACAAAAATTTCACAGTCGGTTCAACCAAATGCTTTGTGAACAATTTTGAAGTAACTTCTTATCGATATATATCTCAAAAACTGGTTCGATGACATACCTGAAAATAAGCTCTCTTTGTTGTTAGTTGGATGACTCTGCACCCAACACTATTCGGGCCGTGCGACGGAAGGCTGACCAGACAATCAAGTGATTGGTATCTTGAGCAATACCATCAACCAAGTCACCTGACTTTGATCCGATCCATCAAGGAGGCGCGAAATATACATGAAGTTAGAATTCATGATTGGAACAACGAGAATATCCGTCCTGTGACACAGCCTGGTACATAGGTTGTCATCGGTAGGTCCAGATAGGATAGGAATATGTTTTTTCACTTGTTTCTTCATTTATCCTCCCTGTTGAATACTGAAATCTTGAAATTAACGCGAGCGTGAATTAAATGTGAAAAACGCGAGTGGTCTTTGTTCGCATTAATGAAACTTCGCATTTATGTCTCCAAAATGACTATCAGCAATCTGCACACTTTGTATAGCGGAAATACCAACTTGAATATATACACAAATATAGAATAATAAACGAGCTCCCGTGTAATACCAATTTTATGAAACGAGTGAATAGCTCTGGTATCTGACGAGCGAAAGCGATTCAGGTACCACAAGTATTCACGAGTTTTATAAAATTGGTTTTACACGGGAGCGAGTTAAGTATTTTATTTATTACTGGCCATTTATAACGTTTTTAGAATTATACCTACACGATCAACAGCATAATCCAATTGCGTTTAACACAGTAATACTTCAAATACGTCAAAAGTTGAAACGTATGAGTTTAATACCATACAACGGTCCACCTTTAGAATTCAGGCGTCCGTTCCACAAACTTATCGTAGCGTTAAGGTTATCGCAACTCACATACTTTAACTGAGACCAACGACTGTCGTTGCGCTACAGTACGATCGCCTTGTGGAACGGGGCCTTGCACCTCAAAGTTTACAATCACGTCACAGTACCCGATGACGTAATTTGTGGAATATTGTTGCAAGATCCATCGGCGAAACAATGCCTAGTAACAAGGCTGCTGGGGTCATCGAGTGTGCATAAACTCCTCTCAGTGATCTATCATCTCCACCCGCAATGTCGTTGAATAAGCCAAGGGATGTCGAGAGCTTTCAATATTTGTTCGTAAAACGTGTTCCGAGAGTACATAAGCACGCGTTTTGGTATTACACAATGTGTAATGCAGCTGTATGTTTATTAAACGGGTGATGTCTTCACGGGCAAGTAATAAACACGATTTACTGAGCAGCAGATCCGGGTAGAATAGGTCTTCAGCAACCCTTGCTTGCCATAAAAGGCGACGCTGATTGTCGTAAGAGGCGACTAACGGGATCGGGTGGTCAGGCTCGCTGAATTGGTTCATGCATGTCAACGTATCCCAATTGCGTGGATCGATGTTCATGATGTCAATCACTTGAGTGTCTGGTCCAGACTCGATTATTTACAGAGTTATCACTTCTTGCGTCAAGAGTTCTACCCTCTCGGGTCAACTTAGGCATCATTGACCACTTGACACGTAGACCTTAACTAATGTAGTCAACACATCCGATTCGTATACAAAACAAAGAACAGTCAGATTAACTGTGACAAAGGCACAGTTTCCATCCCCGAGGACACCTACAACGGTCTACAATGTTCTAAATGACCCATACCTAAATTGACACAGAAGTTACATTGGCGTTTTAAGAGTTAGACGTTACCCTGTGACGAAAGATGTTTTAAAGCAATGTTATTCCGCATGTCCTGGAAGAAGCCTTGCGGTCATTATGTGTCAACTTAAGCGTAATGCACATGTTCATATACCAGTCAAATACACAAATATGTTTAAACAGTACATAAATAAACACAGCCATGTGTACACCCGAGAGACATGTTTGTGTTCTCCGGGGGCATATATCCCAAATGAAGTTAACGCATTTCAGCCTTGAACACAAGGTTATAATGCAACGTATAAAACATGTCAGTGTATAAGTCGCTTATAACCGCGAGACGATACAGTGCTACCGCCCCACGATAAATCAACACATTACGAACATGTGAATGACATCGAGGTGTCACAGCGATATATTTATGAATAACAGCAAGACCCAACTGTGATATATTTGTCCACCAGCGAGATGCCTTTGTTTGATCCATATTTACTTATAAACTCCAAGATATACACAACTTATGTAGGATGACAATATGTCTTTGAATACCAATAACTCATATGCAAGTATCAGCAGAGTTTGCATTTTGAAACATTTTGAAATTTCGTTATGTTTATAGCAAAGAGAAAAAGACTGAAGACACGGCCCTGTCTGGCACCACTATATTGATTCAAAATATTCCCCAATGGATGTGTTACAAATTCACACTGCAGCTTTTATATTTGAAAACATATTCCTTAATATTGTGAATAAGTTTCCATGTATACCATTCTTCAATAGTGAAGGCAAAATTATACTTCTATTAATAGAATCGATAGTTGTGTTTTAAATATAAAAATATACAATAAAATCTCTGATATTTCTGCACCAGACATTGTAAAGTAAATATGTCATCAGACGTTCAGTTGTCTTTACGGAATCCCGCTTGTGCTACTGGGATCTTCTCAAAGTATACCGCCATAAACGGTTATTTAAAATTATACAAAATATTTTCCAAAATATAGTAATCAAGATATATTTGTATAGTGACATATATGTAAAACGTCGAGGCTCCACGTTGACATATATGCAGAACAGCGAGACTCAAAGGGACAAGAACTCTGTCAGGACAAGGCAGACAGTATCCTTTCATTTTTTGAAAGAGTATGCACAATCGCACCGAATAATTTAATCGAGCACTGGCTGAATAGTCACCATACAAATTACAAACGGAAATGCTTCAGTAACACTTAGTGAGTGAATCAGGCAGTGAGTCACAGTCAGCAATATCACTGACATATTCTTTTTGAGGGAACTGATTTTACAGATCAGTTATATTTTCCATTGCATGCCACATCCCTGAATAGGTAGTTGTTGATTTGGCAGGAATTGTACTTTGAAATGAAAAGCAATAAGAGAGCCCGGTTTATTGTGTCTGCTAAGGCTTAGGTCATAATATCCTGACTTGCATGTGGGCTTTTGTAACAGTCTGTGTACATATATCCAATATTGAATATGAATCACTATGTCAGGATAATCAGTAGTGTGTGCATTCGTCTTTGCAGCATGTGCTTGCTGTGTGGAACGAATGCTGATCAGTTCCACTGCCAAAACGTTGAATGGACATGTTGGCGAGTGGCCGGGTACATACCGGGTTATTGTTCGCTTTACATGTAATTTGTTATGCAAGCCAAAGGCAATACCTTGTATTGAAGATTGCACGTTCAATAGTCAGCAGTACAATTGTATAGTAGGCTACAGATAAATGACGAGTGGACATACTGGTGAGTGGCTGGGTACATGCCTATTTATTGTTCACTTTACATGCAGTAGCAATACAAATAAATAAAAGCCACAAAAAATCATTTCCATATTCAAAGGCATATCTGTTACAAGCTGATTTGTTTGTAAGATTTGGGCTATATTATGAACATGTGTGTATGAATCAAAATCAAATAGTGATAATACCAGGTGCTTTACCAGTTATATATACTATTTACAAGACAGCAAATGTCAGGAAGCTTAATAAAATATATCAGTTTTATAAGTAGCTTAGTGAATTTACAAGTGATTTACAACGTTAATGTGACATTGCAGTATTTCAACTAAACAGTAATACGTGCATTTGACAAACACCAACGAGAAGGTTCGCGGTTTGGTATAGATACCTTAGATCCAAACTATAACACATATATCAACTATCATCACTATACGAGACTATACATCATGAGCAGGGGATGATAGGCCTGAATGAAAGAGAACAGAACGCATCCTTGCTGGAGATAACCAGCTGATATGACATCTGTGTCACACATGTCCAATACGTTCTCTGATCAGGCATTGTTACAGACATACACCAAACATATTTCACAAAACACATTTATAAACTAAATTACAATTAGCACATGCAGACATGTGATATAGTGGACATTTAGACATATTAAGGTGTGGTGTGTATCGTACGGTGGCATAATGCCTCCCCCTCCATTAAGGAATATTTAAGAAACAGATACATCTTTACATCTGGTTTAAATTAAATGAGAGTTATTGAGTTTAGTTATAAGTAAAATTATTTCTGCGTTACAGGACACCCCAGTGCTGCTACATGTACCAAAGTGAGTGAGTGGGTGAGTGTCGCTTTGAACAGAGTTTCTGTCATATCAGCGTGTGTCAGTGTAAATGGAAGCCGAAATAACACACGAGAGACGTTGACCACCTGGATGAAACGACCAGGCTTGGTTGCTATAAAACCAAGGGCAAATCTGACAAGTCTGAGGGACACAACGCGGCACAGGGAAATAGCAGCACCTCAGACGACTGTGCGACCACTACCATTAACTGTAAAGCAGGTGGAATAATGGTGCAAGCACAGCGTGTTCGTCCCTTAAAACAACGACAGTATACGTTCATGTTTCTTTGTTTGTGCGATGTCTGCTGCTGTAGCACCACTCTTGTTGACATCCTTGATGTCTATTCCAGGCAGTGGGAGGATGTACTGCACCATCTGCACATTGCATTCTTCATCTCCTCCAGCACAGGCGACGTGAAGGATGTTGTTGTCGTCATCATCAACCACAGACGAATCACAACCCTTCTGTAGAAGGAAATCTAATACGTCTATATGTCCACCCTCTGATGCTATCATCGCTGCAGTCTTCCCGTACCTGCCCCTGCTGTTGATGTCAATAGATGTACCCATCAGGACCCTCTCCACAATGTCCTCATTTCCTCCACTAGATGCTAGATGCAGGATGTTGTTATTGTAAACATCCACAAGTGTCAAAATGGCCCCTTCTTTCACAAGTAAGTCAAATAAAGGTTTACATCCGCGGTTTGCTGCCACCATCACCGGCGTCCTTCCGTCTCGCCCTGCACTGTTGATGTCGAAAAAGTGTTTTAAGAGTAGATAGTTTGCAATGCTCATATTATCGCGAATGCAGGCCAGTTGGAGCATATTGTCACCATGGTTGTCTACATGTAGGAGATTTGCATGTTCCCTAATGAGAAGTTCCAGAACGTCTCTGTTGCCCTGACGTGCTGCCAACATCGCTGGCGTCTGCCCCCGGCAGTCTTTCGTGTCAATGTCAACAAGTTCTAGTGTCAGGAGTTCAGTCACCATGATCACATTGTTTCCTAAGCAGGCCAAGTGAAGGATGTTCATTCCATCAGCATCTACTTCTGAAACATCACCCCCTTTACAAACTGTGAAATAGAAGACGTCAATGTTGCCAAATTCTGCTGCAAACATCATGGGCGTCCGTCCATGTTTACCCTTACAGTTGATATCAAAATACCCTTTAGAGACAATATACTTCACCATCTCTGCGTGTCCTCCCATGCATGCCACATGGAGGATATTATCATTATCCTCATCAACGACAAACACATCACATTGTTTTGTCAAAAGGAGATCAAACACTTTCATATTGCCTTTCTCAACTGCCATCATCAATGCAGTTCGCCCTTTGTATTTTCCCCTTTTGTTGATGTCAAAGGTGAACCGGGAGAGTACATATTCTACCATATCCACATGACCCCCACGACAGGCAGCATGGAACACCGTATCTTCTTCCTCATTATCAAGTGACAAATCACATCCTTCACCCAAAAGAAAATCGAAAACATCCTTACGGCCACTCTCTGCCGCAAGGATCAACATCCTCCCATCATTCAGGCCATCCGTGAAATCCAGTGAGGCGATATGCATTATCATTGGTAAATCCCCTCCAAGACAAGCAACATAAATGAGCTTGTTCCCCAAGCTGTCTCTGATGGTGATGTCCCCTCCTTTACGCCTCACTATCTCAAAGGCTTCCTTGTGTCCTGTTTCTGCTGCCGCCATCAGGGGTGTCCTCCCCTTCGTGTCTGTGCCGTGGATCTGTTGCTGCTGTCGCCCTGGTAAGTTCCTGTCACAGATGTGCTGCACCATGCTCCTGTAGCCTCCCCTGCACGCCACATGGAGGATGTTGTTGCCCTCGGTGTCTTTCATCGACCTGTCTCCTCCTTCTTTTAAGAGTAGGTTGTACACGTCTTTGTGTCCACACTCCGCTGCTACCATCAATGGTGTTCTTCCATCTTGCCTCCTACTGTTGATTCCCACAAGGCGCTTTGAGAGGATGTACTTCACAATGTGCACCTTCCCTCCAGCACAAGCCACGTGAAGGATGTTCAATCCCTTGTCATCTAACAGCGACGTGCTGCCTCCTTTCTCTATGATCAAATCGAAAATTCGTCGAGAACCAGCCCATGCTGCCTTCATTATTGGGGTTCTGCCTAACTTCCCTCTACAGTTGATGTTAAATATTTTACGTGAAAGCAGATGTTCAACAATGAACAAATGGCCTTTAAGACAAGCCAAGTGCAGAAGGTTATCACCATCATCCCCAACATGTCTCACATCGCAGTTGATGTTGTTTATAAGTTCCAGATACACATGTCGACACCCATGTCGAGCGGCCACCATCACCGGCGTCCATCCGTGTTTGCCTCTCACGTTGATGTCAATCCTTCCATCTGAGAGAATCAACTTCACTATTTTCAGACGATTTCTGGAGCAGGCAACATGCAAAATGGTGTCACCATCTTCATCCAAGAGTGACATGTCAGCTTGCTTCCTGTGGAGTAGTTTAAACACCCCAACATGCTCCCCATGTGCAGCTGCCATCACCGGTGTCCAGCCGTGTGCCCCCCTGGTGTTGATGTCCACTCGATCTTCCTGTAGGATGCGAGTAACTGCATCCAACCTCCCCGAGCAGCAGGCCTGGTACAGATCCGTGTTGATGTTGGTGGACGACATCCTGCAAGATACATAGTAAGTGATTAGTCTACGACTGCACACATTTAATAAAGTATAACACTCTGGGGCATAGCTAAGTGATTAAAGACAGGTTCCATTCCTCACATATGTACATTTGAAATCCTTTTATTGGTTTCAATGCTTTGATATGGATGAAATATTGCTAACATTAGCAGCAGAAAAACGCCCTCAAAATCTAAATAGTTGTACATTTAGTTATGTAATTGTTATGTCACAAGTGTTATGTCACAATTGTTATGTATGTAGACATTATTTTGTTGGGGAACAACCATGATGATGTGTCATGATGACCCCCAAAGATCCTGCACTTATTATCGTGCATTGTCTTGTATAAGTATGTGTCTTTCTCTATAAAGTGGGGTAGTCTAGTGGTTAGAGCGTTCGCTCGTCACGCCGAAAACCCGGGTTCGATTCCTCACATGGGTACATTGTGTGAAGCTCATTTCTGGTGTCCCCCGCAGTGATATTGCTGGAATTTTGTTAAAAGCGGCGTAAAACCATACTCACTCATACTCACTCTCTATGAAGACATTTACCTTAATTAATCACAGAGAATACTTACCTGTCTGTTTCACCCGCTATTCATTATCAGGCGGCGTTGACGGCATGTTCAGTAGCGACCGCGGAGCGTGTGATCGTACAAACACAGAGAATATCTTTGTAATATACTTATACTTATAACTTGCGATTGTTAGGCCGGCTATAAATGCACGTGGTCGACCGGCAATGAATCGTTTTGTGCCGTCAGCAAGTCGCTATGCACTGTGCCGTACTGCAGACAGTCCTACATTCTTTAAGTGCCTGTATTGTGTTGTAGTGTGCAATCATATTCAGCCATACCGGTATGTGCGTGGAACCACGATGTAGATACGCATAAATAAACGTGCATGTACTGATCGTTCAAGTTTTGTCAAGAATAGTTGCAATTGTTGTAGATCTGATGCCAGACACTCAAATACATTCAATGGTATTTACGACTTGAATGTAATGCATTGTATGTATGGCGGGTCAAATCCACCTGGGCATGTAGTGTATCTGGTCAATGGTTGTCCACGAGTGGCCTGATTCTAAATTACTCATTCGTGTGTCTGACACATGTAGCATATAGAGAGTTTCGTTGAGTTTCGTTGATATATTTCATATCAAAAGACACGAGAGTGAGATTTTATTTATCATCCAACATCATTCTTCCAACTTGTTCAGTTTGTATACAGTAATAAACGGTGTCTTAAGTGTAAAAAGTACTGATAGCAGCTTCAGTAGCAGAGACATTAGTGATGTCATTTGATTGTGACGTCATGTAACAATGACGTCACAATGCCTGCAAAACATTGTAATGCAATTTCATTGCAGCAATATCTACAATGTAGTTATCGCTTGATCTCACCCAAGGATATCTCTCGTAGGAGCCAGTTCTTGATGATAAAATTAATTCCGTCACAAAAAATTAAATGTAGAATAAAATCACAAATAAATCAAAGTGACATCGTCACCAAATCATATGTCTCGTGTTTTTTGCCATTGCCAAATTAGTTTACATTTGCTGCTAATGGTATATTTACATATTATCTCATTCTCATCACGTTTCTCGAAGTTTATGAATTCAGGTATGTTATTTCCTACATGAACTTTATACTGAATGGACTGATAGAATCACTGGTGCAATGTGCGCTATGTACACCTTCATGGCGGCATGCGTGCTTTGTTCAAGAACGTGAGATCTGAGCGCCGTGCTGCTCTCTGTCACATCGTGGATACGTGAGACAACCATCGCGTTTTACAACATTTCTGTTTTATTAAAGACATTGGTGACATTTTATAGGGACGTATACTAGTTTACGTACAAGTGTCGAACACGACCATGTGTTTACCGCGTGATTATATTATAGGTAGTATTTATAGGTGTATTAAATATTGCAAGGATTGCCCACGTGTAACGGAAAGATAGTTGCATAGATGTCACGACGGTTCTCAGAAGAACAGAATGTTGGTCGGCTCCAGGTATGTGCGTCATTGAGCGCAAGGGTGGCAAAGCAGATATTAATATTACAGATGACAAATCTCTTACAAACGCACACACAATGTTACAATCGGTCCGTCCCACGTGAAACCTGTCACGTAGCATAGCCATACAGCAAGTGTGTTCTGTCCACTTCACGACTTGTCTGACGTTACGTCTTGTCTGACGTTACGTCTTGTCAGACGTTACGCCTTGTCTGACGTTACGTCTTGTCTTGTCTGACGTTACGCCTTGTCTGACGTTAGTTCTTGTCTGACGTTAGGTCTTGTCAGACGTTACGCCTTGTCTGACGTTAGGTCTTGTCAGACGTTACGCCTTGTCTGACGTTACGTCTTGTCTTGTCTGACGTTACGCCTTGTCTGACGTTAGTTCTTGTCTGACGTTAGGTCTTGTCTGACGTTATGCCTTGTCTGACGTTACGTCTTGTCTGACGTTATGCCTTGTCTGACGTTACGCCTTGACTAACGTTACGTCTTGTCAGACGTTACGTCTTGTCTGATGTTATGCCTTGTTTGACGTTACGTCTTGTCTGACGTTATGCCTTGTCTGATGTTATGCCTTGTCTGACGTTATGTCTTGTCTGATGTTATGCCTTGTCTGACGTTACTTCTTGTCTGACGTTATGCCTTGTCTGACGTTACGTATTGTCTGACGTTACGCCTTGTCTGATGTTACTTCTTGTCTGACGTTATGCCTTGTCTGACGTTACGTCTTGTCTATTGTTTTTTCTCTCAATAGATTTGCTGAATAACTGATTGGGTATGTTTATTCAATTGGATAAATAAACATGGAAAGTATGGCACAACATTATATGTGCATGCGTCTGTTAGATAGTGACCACATCAACTTAACGTGTTGTTAAAGGCGAATGGATCTGGTTGTCAGACTCGGTGCCTTACTTGATTTAGTTTCATCATACCGCAACGGTCTGAATCGTTGATTAGAATACCAATGGCTTGTTTGTGTGGTCCAGATCCAAGTATTCACAGACCTCCCGTCATAGCTGGATTTTGGCTGAATGTTGTGCTAGCCTGTTATAGCGTCTAATATAACCAACGGATGAAAATGTACCCAATGTCGACATAACTTTTAAAGCTATGCATAGAGTGGTGGCTAGTATCTGAAAATATGTCCGGTATGTAGGTGATATATAATATTTAGTGAATATGCTGCTACAAACCTGTTTTAGGATTACCATTTATACAATGATTACAGCTATGTTATATGATATATCGACAAGAGGGTCTATGGTTGAATCGGAATGTATTAAATAACCATTAATGGTTGGCTTGCCCGCTGAAGGTGTTATGCAAAGGAGAAATATGGTGATATTGTGCCCGCGTGAAGATATGCGTGGGCGATTCACAACTGTGAGCGTATTTATGAATGGATCCATTATCTGATAGAATTCACTCGATGATACAGTTGGTTATGGCATTGTTCATTTCGTTTATGTAGTACCTCAAAGTCCCTATCACGCACATTGGACTGTTTGAAAAAGGTGGTAGCAAACCGTGGGCTGGTGAATGCATCCACTTCTTTTCATTTCACATTTGATGGCACATTGCCATCCAAGCTTGCAAACCCGACAGTTAGCATACATGCACATGCACGTCTTGACATCTCAAGGCATGCATGCAGTCTATGGCGCTGCAATGCACTAAACAGAATAAAGTCGCTTGACCTTTGATTCTCTGCTTTTGTATTTACATAACAGATGCTCCCCCGTTTATGACTCTTGGTCTGTCAGTTCTATGCCTTTGATACAAATACACGGGTTATACTCACACTCTCAACAAAAGCTTTATTGTTACTTTCTGTAATACCTTCCTCAAGGTGGGCGACAGAGACAAACACACCGATGTGATTAGTTGGCTATAGTTTACAGATTGCATGATAGTGTTTACAATACAAGCGTACAATCATAGAATCACACAAAAAAGGATGAAAATGGTAAATTATATCATAAATATATGGACACAAAATATGTTGTGTTTCTCGTCAAAGGACCCCGCTAGTTTCTCCATTCAGTTGATGTTTGACCACAATCGTGACAAAGTGGTCAGCAGTACTGGCCATCATCAACTTGGCATGTTGTCCGAGAGCCCCTGGTGGCCGTGTTCCCTGGCTACCATTGCTGCTGTGGACCCGAAATGGTTCCTGGCAGTCACGTCAACAAGGTCCAGCTGGATTATGTGTTTCACCATCTTCTCATCTCCCCCACTGCACGCCACGTGGAGGATGTTGTCCCCGTTTACATTCAACACAGACACGTCACATTCTTCACTGACAAGGAAGTCAAACACCTGAATGTGTCCACTCTTTGCTGCCAACATCAGCGGTGTCATCCCAACATGTTCTACACCGTTTATGTCGACCATGTCGCGCAGAACCACATACTCCACCATCTCCAGGTGCCCCCCGCTGCAGGCAACGTGTAACAGGTTATCACCATTGTGATTCACCAGAGACACATCTGCTCCTCTTCTTACAAGCAGGTCTACCACACCTAAATGGCCCATTCGTGATGCAATCATCACTGCTGTCCTTCCGTACTGATTTGTGATGTTGAGATTTACATGATATTTATAAAGAATGTGCTTCACCATGTCCAAGTGACCCCCATAGCAAGCCACGTGGAGGATGTTGTCCCCGTGGTTATTTACAAGTGACACATCTGCACCTCTGCTTACCAGGAGATCAAACACGCCCTTATGTCCCCAGCGTGCTGCGATCATGACGGGTGTTCTCCCGTACTCGCCTCTGCTGTTAATGTCCACAACATGCTCTGAGAGGACATACTTGACTATGTCTGTGTTGCCCCCGATGCAGACAACGTGGAGGATGTTGTTGTTGTAGTCATCCACCAGAGACACGTCTCCACCTCTACTGATGAGCAAGTCCATCACGTCTCGGTGTCCCCCCTCAGCTGCTGACATGAGCGGCGTTCCTCCGTACTGCCCCCCGCTGTTGATGTCCACAATGTCCAGTGAGACGATACATTCCACCATCTGCACATGTCCTCCAATACAGGCCACGTGGAGGATGCTGTCTCCATTGTCATCAACACACAACATGTCACTGCCTTTACACACAAGGAAGTAAAACACATCCCGATGTCCAGACTCCGCTGCAAGCATCGCCGCCGTCCTCCCGTACTTCCCTCCACTGTTGATGTCAACGATGTTTAGCGAGAGGACATACTTCACCATCTCTACATCTTCCCCTAAGGAGGCGACGTGGAGAATGTTGTTACCGTCATCATCCACCAGGGATGGGTCACCACCTTTACTTACGAGGACATCAAACACGTTTCTATTTCCCCTTAAAGCTGCAAACATCAGGGGTGTCTGTCCAGTCTTCCCTCTACTGTTCATGTCACAAAGGTCCAATCTTAGGACATATAGAACCATCTCTATGTGTCCGCCAAGACAGGCTATATGGAGGAGGTTGTTATTGTCCACATCCGATACGGATAAATCACATCCCTGCGCCCTAAGTAGATCAATTACTTTTGTATGACCCCTTTCTGCTGCAAACATCAGAGGAGTTCGATCATTGCTTCCTATACTTGTGACTCCAGCAATGTTTTCTGACATGACACGCTGTACAATCTTCACACTACCCCCACTACATGCCAGGTGTAGTATGTTGTTGTTGTGACCATCCTTTAATGACAGGTCAGCTCCTTTACCGACAAGCAAATCAAACACTCCTCCATGTCCCCCCTCAGCTGCTAACATCACTGGCGTCTGTCCGTTTCTTGTCTTACTGTTGATGCGAGCGATGCGTTTAGAGAGACAATGCAGCACCATGCTGCTACTTCCTCCCCGACACGCCACATGGAGCAAGTTTTCACCGTTAGAATCCACGAGTGACACATCACCACCTTTATCAACAAGTACATTTAACACGCCCCTGTGTCCAAACATCGCTGCAATCATCACAGGCGTCCTCCCGCTCTTACCCCGGCAGTTGACGCCGACGATGTGCTTGGACAGGATGTGCTTCACCATAGGCACATTATCTCTGTTACATGCTAAGTGTAAGATGGTGTCTCCGTGCTCGCTCACTACGGACAGGTCAGCTCCTACCCTTTCAAGAAGGTCAAACACGGTCACATGACCTCCCCATGCTGCTTTCATAACTGGGGTTCTCCCGAACTTTCCTCGACTGTTTATGTCAATAAAATCTTGTTCCAGGATATATTTCACTATCTCTATATTACCTCCCAAACATGCAAAATGCAGAATGTTGTCATCATCATCGCTCACTTGAGTTACATCGCTGCCGTTACTAACAAGGAAGTCAAACACCTTCTTGTGGCCATACCATGCTGCTAGCATCACCGGCGTCCTGCCGTCCTTTCCTTCAGCGTTGACATCCGCTTGGCCACCAGACAGCAAGTGCTGCACTTGCTGCAACTTGCCCGTTCTACAGGCGACGTGGAGAACACTGTCAGAACTGGATGTACGTTTAGGAGCCACTGGAGGGACACAGGCGACATGGTGGTCACTGTCAGAACTGGATGTACGTTGAGGAGGAACTGGAGGGACACAGGCGCCGTGGAGGTCACTGTCAGAACTGGCTGTACGTTGAGGAGGAACTGGAGGGACACAGGCGCCGTGGAGGTCACTGTCAGAACTGGCTGTACGTTGAGGAAGAACTGGTGGGATAAAGGCGACGTGGTGGTCACTGTCAGAACTGGCTGTACGTTGAGGAGGAACTGGAGGGACACAGGCGCCGTGGAGGTCACTGTCAGAACTGGATGTACGTTGAGGAGGAACTAGTGGAACACAGGCGCCGTGGTGGTCACTGTCAGAACTGGATGTACGTTGAGGACGAACTGGTTGAACACAGGCGCCGTGGTGGTCACTGTCAGAACTGGATGTACGTTGAGGAGGAACTGGAAGGACACAGGCGCCGTGGAAGTCACTGTCAGAACTGGATGTACGTTGAGGACGAACTGGTTGAACACAGGCGACGTGGTGGTCACTGTCAGAACTGGATGTACGTTGAGGAGGAACTGGAGGGACACAGGCGCCGTGGAGGTCACTGTCAGAACTGGCTGTACGTTGAGGAGGAACTAGTGGAACACAGGCGCCGTGGTGGTCACTGTCAGAACTGGATGTACGTTGAGGACGAACTAGTGGAACACAGGCGCCGTGGTGGTCACTGTCAGAACTGGATGTACGTTGAGGACGAACTAGTTGAACACAGGCGCCGTGGTGGTCACTGTCAGAACTGGCTGTACGTTGAGGAGGAACTGGGGGGACACAGACGCCGTGGTGGTCACTGTCAGAACTGGATGTACGTTGAGGAGGAACTGGGGGGACACAGGCGCCGTGGTGGTCACTGTCAGAACTGGATGTACGTTGAAGAGGTACTGGTGGAACACGGGCGACGTGGAGGTCACTGTCAGAACTGGATGTACGTTGAAGAGGGACTGGTGGAACACGGGCGACGTGGAAGTCACTGTCAGAACTGGATGTACGTTGAGGAGGACCTAGAGGGACACAGGCGCCGTGGAGGTCACTGTCAGAACTGGCTGTACGTTGAGGAGGACCTAGAGGGACACAGGCGCCGTGGTGGTCACTGTCAGAACTGGATGTACGTTGAGGAGGAACTGGAAGGACACAGGCGCCGTGAAGGTCACTGTCAGAACTGGATGTACGTTGAGGAGGAACTGGGGGGACACAGGCGCCGTGGTGGTCACTGTCAGAACTGGATGTACGTTGAAGAGGGACTGGTGGAACACGGGCGACGTGGAGGTCACTGTCAGAACTGGATGTACGTTGAGGAGGACCTAGAGGGACACAGGCGACGTGGAGGTCACTGTCAGAACTGGATGTACGTTGAGGAGGACCTAGAGGGACACAGGCGCCGTGGTGGTCACTGTCAGAACTGGATGTACGTTGAGGAGGACCTAGAGGGACACAGGCGCCGTGAAGGTCACTGTCAGAACCTTCCGAACATGGGGTAGGAGAGGGGACGCTGTCCTTTGTTTCTGGAACATTAAATACAGCTAGAGAAGTCGTATTGTTTGGCTTTAAATCAACACTGTTGTTCACCAGATTGTTCAATACAACCACTTCCAAGTTTCGTTTTGATATCGTTATGTTAATATTTCGGATACAGTGGCATTAAAACCTTTCCAAATCATTAATATATTGTTCATTCACGTACACACACAACCCGTGAAGACCCGGGTTAGAACAGGTCTCCAGCAACACATGCTTGTCCTAAGAGCCGACTAACGGGATCGGGTGGACAGGCTCGCTGACTTGATTGATGCATGTCATCGTATCTGAGTCGATGTTCATGATGTCAATCACAGGACCTTCTGGTTTAGCCTCGATTATTTACGGACCGTCGCCATATAGCTGGAATATGGCAGATTTCGCGGTTTAACAACAAACAAATACATAAACAATGCATTTTAAAATCACACGAAGCCGAGGGATGGTGGAATAGCCTCAGCACTGATACAGGATGATGTAACTGGACAAGAGAAACACTCTTCAACTCATCTAACGCATCTAACGTACACGTACCCCCCCCCCCCCCCCCCCCCCCCCCCCCCCCCACACACACACACACCCTGGTTATCGAATTACAAATACCACCATCAACGATCGCATATGAATCGGTACTTCCTGCTCTTTAAGAAAAAGACAATTGTCATGGAAGCTGGAGATAGGTAATAGCCATACCTTCAAATCTGTCGGGGTGATCCATCACGAGGCCGCATCTGCATCACACAAAGCCTTGCGTGATGTCTGCAACCAGCCAGACGAAAGCTGTTACCTAGTTATGCATATAACACCGAATAAAACAACAACATAACGCATCAACAGAATAGATAATCTATGGCAGTAACGTTTCACTGGGAATATAGTTGTATTTGGAGGTGCGTAAGTGATGGAAGTGCGTAAGTGTTGGAGGTGTGTAAGTGTTGGAGATGTGTAAGTGTTGGAGGTGTGTAAGTGTTGGAGGTGTGTAAGTGGCGGAAGTGCGTGAGTATTGGAGGTGTGTAAGTGTTGGAGGTGTGTAAGTGTTGGAGGTTTGTAAGTGTTGGAGGTGTGTAAGTGGCGGAAGTGCTTAAGTGTTGGAGGTGTGTAAGTGTTGGAGGTGTGTAAGTGTTGGATGTGTGTAAGTGTTGGAGGTGTGTAAGTGTTGGAGGTGTGTAAGTGTTGGAGGTGTGTACGTGTTGGAGGTGTGTAAGTGTTGGAGGTGTGTAAGTGTTAGATGTGTGTAAGTGTTGGGTGTGTGTAAGTGTTGGATGTGTGTAAGTGTTGGATGTGTGTAAGTGTTGGAGGTGTGTAAGTGTTGGAGGTGTGTAAGTGTTGGAGGTGTGTAAGTGTTGGATGTGTGTAAGTGTTGGAGGTGTGTAAGTGTTGGATGTGTGTAAGTGGTGGATGTATGTAAGTGGTGGATGTGTGTAAGTGTTGGAGGTGTGTAAGTGTTGGATGTGTGTAAGTGGTGGAGTTGTGTTAGTGGTGGAGGTGTGTATGTGGTGGAGGTGTGTAAGTGGTGGATGTGTGTAAGTGGTGGAGGTGTGTTAGTGGTGGAGGTGTGTAAGTGGTGGGGGTGTGTTAGTGGTGGATGTGTGTAAGTGGTGGAGGTGTGTTAGTGGTGGAGGTGTGTAAGTGTTGGAGGTGTGTAAGTGGCGGAAGTGCGTGAGTATTGGAGGTGTGTAAGTGTTGGAGGTGTGTAAGTGTTGGAGGTTTGTAAGTGTTGGAGGTGTGTAAGTGGCGGAAGTGCTTAAGTGTTGGAGGTGTGTAAGTGTTGGAGGTGTGTAAGTGTTGGATGTGTGTAAGTGTTGGAGGTGTGTAAGTGTTGGAGGTGTGTAAGTGTTGGAGGTGTGTACGTGTTGGAGGTGTGTAAGTGTTGGAGGTGTGTAAGTGTTAGATGTGTGTAAGTGTTGGGTGTGTGTAAGTGTTGGATGTGTGTAAGTGTTGGATGTGTGTAAGTGTTGGAGGTGTGTAAGTGTTGGAGGTGTGTAAGTGTTGGAGGTGTGTAAGTGTTGGATGTGTGTAAGTGTTGGAGGTGTGTAAGTGTTGGATGTGTGTAAGTGGTGGATGTATGTAAGTGGTGGATGTGTGTAAGTGTTGGAGGTGTGTAAGTGTTGGATGTGGGTAAGTGGTGGAGTTGTGTTAGTGGTGGAGGTGTGTATGTGGTGGAGGTGTGTAAGTGGTGGATGTGTGTAAGTGGTGGAGGTGTGTTAGTGGTGGAGGTGTGTAAGTGGTGGGGGTGTGTTAGTGGTGGATGTGTGTAAGTGGTGGAGGTGTGTTAGTGGTGGAGGTGTGTAAGTGTTGGATGTGTTTAAGTGGTGGATGTGTGTAAGTGGTGGAGGTGTGTAAGTGGTGGAGGTGTGTTAGTGGTGGAGGTGTGTAAGTGGTGGAGGTGTGTAAGTGGTGGAGGTGTAAGTTGTGGATGTGTGTAAGTGGTGGAGGTGTGTAAATGGTGGATATGTGTAAGTGGTGGAGGTGTGTAAGTGGTGGATGTGTGTAATCGGTGGATGTGTGTTAGTGGTGGAGTTGTGTAAGTGGTGGAGGTGTGTAAGTGGTGGAGGTGTGTTAGTGGTGGAGGTGTGTAAGTGGTGGAGGTTTGTTAGTGGTGGAGGTGTGTAAGTGGTGGATGTGTGTAAGTGGTGGAGGTTTGTAAGTGGTGGATGTGTGTAAGTGGTGGAGATTTATAAGTGGTGGATGTGTGTAAGTGGTGGAGGTGTGTTAGTGGTGGAAGTGTGTAAGTGGTGGAGGTGTGTTAGTGGTGGAGGTGTGTAAGTGGTGGAGGTGTGTAAGTGGTGGAGGTGTGTAAGTGGTGGATGTGTGTAAGTGGTGGAGGTGTGTAAGTGGTGGATGTGTGTAAGTGGTGGAGGTGTGTTAGTGGTGGAAGTGTGTAAGTGGTGGAGGTGTGTTAGTGGTGGATGTGTGTAAGTGGTGGATGTGTGTAAGTGGTGGAGGTGTGTAAGTGGTGGATGTGTGTAAGTATTGGATGTATGTAAGTGGTGGAGGTGTGTAAGTGTTGGATGTGTGTAAGTGTTGGATGTGTGTAAGTGGTGGAGGTGTGTAAGTGGTGGATGTGTGTAAGTGGTGGAGGTGTGTTAGTGGTGGAAGTGTGTAAGTGGTGGAGGTGTGTTAGTGGTGGATGTGTGTAAGTGGTGGAGGTGTGTAAGTGGTGGATGTGTGTAAGTGGTGGATGTGTGTAAGTGGTGGAGGTGTGTAAGTGGTGGAGGTGTGTTAGTGGTGGATGTGTGTAAGTGGTGGAGGTGTGTTAGTGGTGGAGGTGTGTAAGTGGTGGAGGTGTGTAAGTGGTAGATGTGTGTAAGTGGTGGAGGTGTGTAAGTGTTGGATGTGTGTAAGTGGTGGAGGTGTGTAAGTGGTGGAGGTGTGTTAGTGGTGGAGGTGTGCACGTGTTCGATCACTGAAGATCTGTGATGCCACCAGGTGTTCACGAAATAGGTATACATGTCCTGCTACTTCTACTTCAATAGTTCTGCCATACGAAGCATGCCTGTAAACAATCGGGTGTTGACCAGACAATCCACTGACAATATCATGAATAATGATCCACGTCATCGGGGTACACTGACCGCTGTCAACCAAGTTTGACCACCGGATCTAAGCAGCATCTACTCACTAAATGTGCAGTGAAGTGACTGAAACATTCGCAACAGTCCATGCTATTGGGATACACAAACACAATGAAGCAGGCCACACAGTGACGTCAGTTGCCACAGCACGCATAGCTACAGGAACATATTCTGACCATGAAACCACACAGGGCACCTGCTGAATGAGTTTCCACCCTGAGACATGAATATATTTACCCAACCTGTTTTTACTATATACACATTCAGCTATTGGATTTGTTAATGTTGATAATTTTCTTCTTCCATGTTTAAGACAAAGAACTGCAGGACATGGAACATTGACTGTTGACTTTATCACTACAACACGTGGTACTACGGTTATAATTGTGGAGGTATACCACATGAACACATACCTGTAACACGCCCAACTCAATCCTGACACAAAGTCCTCAGACGTGGACGGACGAACCATTAAGCCACACAGGACAGCGTTGACAGGCTGCCCCTTGTGTGAGAAGAGCGTGTACTGCATGTCTCAGCATGCAAGACCTGAAAGCAAAGGTTCTCATTGTGTTTGTTGAGCATGCCAAGGGGATTGTTACAAACTCCTAGATACATGTATGGGGTACAGCCAGCTGTTAGACAACTATTACAGGGTATTCAGTGTTGTAATTCTGTATGCTGAGTAGGTAAGGGTTGTTGTTGGGTAGAGAATGTCGTGCGGTGTATTGAGTATAACTGACAGTGTTTAACCCATTCCGGTCACAGTTGTACTGTGATTCATCAAATTAATGCGACCCCATAGCCTAATGAAATGAATGCGAGTAGGCCTACCTTTATAGTGTTAAAGCAAAAAAAGGAAATTTAGAGCAGCTTAGAATCCTATAATATAGCAAAAGAAACGTTTCAAGTATACTGTCACTGTACTTTGTTGCTCTGCGTTTCAATTCAAATCATTCAATTCTCACAGCGCGGTCATTTCGTCAAACCTGAGAGAAACGTGTCCCGAGATTGATATTTTATATACAACATTTGAATTCATGTGTGTGGTAGATTTATGCCGTTCAAGGATGTCGTCGGGATGCCCTTACCCATGCAACAATCGTACATTACACGGAACAGGCAAATTAGAAGTCATCAACACACAAGAATATATGGAAAGTTTCAAGCCGCGTTCAAATACATTGCACTACGTTTTCAATGTACACAGCTAAATGTTATTATTTGACATCTCTAGACACGGATGTCCTATACTGTAAACAAAAACACAGTAGAAACAATACCAGCCAACATGGAACAGTCAGATCATTTGAGAGTACGAACAGTTTTGAAACTTTACTGCAGCCCAAGCCCAAGTATTGAAACCTGGTGTGGGTATGTAACATTGGGACAATCTGACACGAGTTATGTCCCTTGTGTGGCGTACCCAACCTGGAGGACAGTTACAAGGAACGCGTGCTAAATACCAGTGTTACTTTTACTTGTTGGTGTGGGGTTCGGCTTCTGATTCTCCTCACAATGACCCCCCCTCCCATCACCCTGTCCGCCCCGGGGATAGTTATGGTCCCAGAACCTGTACACTTCATCATTGCTGCAATGTCCAGCACACAGATCCCTCTCCGGACATGCGATCAAGGGGAGGTTATCCCAATCAGTCCGCCAAGGCTGCGGTGCTCTGTGTTGAAGATGGGTTAGCAAAATATATTTTTGATAAAGTAGATATGATGGAGTTCTGACACTCGCCATCTAAAGACAAACCAAAGTAACCTGATGAAATATTCCATATTCTATTTTACCATCAATTCAATGTAGAATCTAAAAATTACATTTACTCATCGTACTATTTTCACAAAGGAACAAGAAAGCAAAACCTGTGATATGACCGGTGCATTTCAGGGTCGCAGCAGGTTAACGCATGTCAGTGTCTTGTGTAGGCGCATTGGGTTAACGCATGTCAGTGTCTTGTGTAGGCGCATTGGGTAAACGCATGTCAGTGTCTTGTGTAGGCGCATTGGGTTAACGCATGTCAGTGTCTTGTGTAGGCGCATTGTGTTAACGCATGTCAGTGTCTTGTGTAGGCACATCGTATTACCTGGGGAACATGTACACGCATGCTCCTTGTGTTTGTAGTACAGACCTAGGATGAAACAGTGATGAACCACGTTTATATTCATCTGGTAATTATCACCTCCTATGTATGACTTAAGGAGTGTAAACGTCCAGAATTCGTGAGATTGTATCCTCTAACCGGACATTAATCAGCTGTTTTAATTTGCTTCTTTCATGCTCAGGGAGACAATGTGGCCTTTTGGGGTTACAGTGATTGCATGGATGCTTATCCCCACACAAGGTAAGCAGATTAGTAATCTATATACATTGTGCTACATGAGGTAGGGCATCGTAAAGTGGGTCGCTTGTTGGCAGCGCTTCCAGAATGTTGACATTATTATTAAATTAGTTGATAAAAAACTATGCTCTTTGACGGTGTCACTCCAGCAAGAATAGACAATGCATTTGATGTCTTTGATGTCTAGTGTATATATAATTGACCCGTTTAAGATACAAATGTTTGATAACAATAATTGGTATTACTAAATAGCAAGGCGCGAGCGTCTGTAGTGCAGGGACAAGTTTCAATGACAAATACTGAAATCTCCCAACATCGATGGGCTTATTCAATGAGATTGTGTGGAGATATAATAGATCGCTGAGAGGAACTTATGCACAACCTCTCCTTGGGCTGGCATCACATGGCATTGTTTAGCGGTGGCTGTTGCTACAATTAAAGTATGATGATATGGTCTGAGTCGTACAGTGGACTCTGACTTTTAATAGAAGAGATACGTTATGACTAAGGAAATTGTTTTGGTAGCTTTTATTTATTCTCAGGTGGTAAATGTTCCTATAACCAGCACTGCTCCGAGTGTGAGGACCAGACAGGTCGATGCAGCACCAACTGCTCTAAAGGATATTTCGGCCCAAAGTGCATGGATGTTTGCAGCAGAAGGTGCAGGTACCACACATGTCAGCTGCACCTCGACAGGGGGATTGGGAGATGTACTGATGGCTGCATACCAGGATTCCAAGGCCCAAACTGCCAGAGACCATGTTACACTCACCAGGTAGACTGTACCAGATGCCCAGGTGGATGTGATGGGAAGTATTGCCAGATGGGTGGAACTTGTTTCTCTGGCTGCAGCGACTCATACTACGGAGAAGGATGTAGGACGTGTTCCAGCAGATGCAAGTCCTGCAACAGGATCACAGGAACATGTGAGGAGTGTCAGCCTCCATATTCTGGACTGGACTGTAGATCCTCGTGTGAGCACTGTGTCGGTGGATGTGAGAGTGGCTGCCAACAGGGATGCAGACAAGGATTCTATGGAGACAACTGTACTGAAGCATGCAGTGACACCTGCCGAGCTGATCCCTCCCTGTCTACTGATGAACGATGTCCTGAGGGAGACTCATGTACCCCAGAGTGCCACAGCCAGACTGGCGAGTGTGTTCACGGTTGTGTAGATGGCTGGTACGGCCCGAAGTGTTCAAGGCGATGCAACCCTAAATGCACCCATCAAAGGTGCAACCGCGCAGGTGCGTGTATTGAAGGATGTGCACCTGGACATGTCAGGTCTGATTGTGAACTGTGTCTGCAGCAATGCCTCAACCTCACCTGTGCCTTAAACAACGGATCTTGTTGCAATGGTTGCAGCAGTGGTTTATTGGTAGAAAGCTGCAACCTATCTTGCAACGTATGTCTGGGTGGTATTGTTGGTATGAACACAAGTGTATGTATACTTGTGAAGAATATCACTCAATACATGTGTGGGTATAACTGTACAAACAACGGCTCATCACCTAGTTGCTCTGCCGGATCTTGTGTTACAGGTAAGTCATGCTGATTGGTCTGACATATCGCTTGTTAATACTGATCTGGATTTTTTGGGTTCTTCTTTAATGTTTATCATAACAGCAGTAGTTGTTTCTGAAACGAAATGTTGAGAAATATTATCATAAAATTCCAAGTCAATATAAAGGTATTCTGAAATGTCACATTGGGAACTGTCTATGGGGGATTGTGAAACATGAAAGCAGTGATTGTGTTGCCTTGGTAATGTGTACTGTGTATTTTGAAAAAAACCCATTTACTTTATTCATGGTTTGAGATAAAGTTAATTAATTTATCTTTTCTGAAAATAGATAATGCACCCTAAAACATTCAGAAAGACTTCAAATCAATTTCATGCACGGCGCACAATTTAGATGTTTGCCTGTTTGTAGGGACAATAATACTCACTCATGTGGTCTTTGAATGTGAACAGCGCATAATGACCATTCAGCTGTCAGGTGCTCATACGCATTGCCACTCCTTGCTGCAAATAGTCGCACCGTCGAGATGCTGCAAACAGGAATGGCACAAAAGGAATTTCAGTGTTCAACAAAACACAATATCAGACGTTATCTTCAGCAGGGCAACGCTTATTACTTACGTATTAGTCGCCAACAAGTGACGCCATGTCAACAAGACAGCTATATGTGTTTGATGCATTCACGGAATCGATACCAACCTGCCACATTAGCAGCTCGGACAATTCCTAGGTGGACAGAAAGTAATGGCAGAGCCTTATTGAACCGTCGATACACACAGTAGTGCTTCCGAGCTCGGTGTAGCCAGTAGCTGAGGTTCGGAAGACAAAACAGGGGCAGTATACTATTCGCAGATGAGTCCAGGTGTCATCTGGACAGCTCTGATGGTCGTGCAAGGGTCTGCTAGCAGGAGGACGTCGTAAGGACATTTGTGTTACGCAACGTCGTCAGTTTGGGGGTGGAGGTGTAAGGGTGTGGGGTGGCATCACAACTCAAAGGAGAACGTATCTCATCATTGTTAATGGCAACTTGAATGGGGTACGCTGCCGGGACAACATCGTTCAAGGGCATGTTTCACCCTTCGTCCAAACACAGTGACGTGACGTCACGTTGCAAAAGGAAAATGCCCCCCCCACACGTTGCACATGTTGTAACAGGATTTTTGAAGCAGCATAACATTGTAACACAGGCCTGGGATGAGATAGGGGACGCCTACGACAGGACCCGAACGAGCCTGTAATGCTAGCTCAGTAAAACCAGTATTTGATTTACATGTGGAACAACATCCCCAATCATGTTTTCAATCATGTGGTGTCTTCAGTTCGCCCCCGCTGCCTCGCATGTATCAACGCACACGGTGGTGTTGCACGATATTGACATTATTAAGTGAGCTGTTTTCTTTTCGGACGTGCCTCTCTTTGGTGTGGATTTTGTCAATGAATGTGTTATGATTCAGACGGTCGACCAAATATTATGCTGTTATTTTAAATAAGAACATTTACACTACTTTTCATGAAGCACAGTTACCTTTTCCCGTCAGCATGCCCATTGTAGGAAGTAAAAACTGAAAAAGGCCCTGAACATATCTGATCAATATTTAAAAAATGTACAGAATTGACATTTTCAGAAATAGTATTGTACCGACGTAAGTTGTTTATTTCTTTC